GGGCAGGTGGGGTGTTCAGGGCCCAGCTGCTGACACCTGATCCCGCCCTGACCAGGTGGGAGGACGGAGATTGGCGGCTGGCCCCTGAGATGCCCAAGATAACTAGACAAGGAGATAACCAGAGTCAATCCCAGTCGAGTTGGGTGATAGGCTGAGATGACGCACCGAGCCGCTGAGGCAGATCCTGTCTGGAGACACTCGGGCACCTTGATCGCAGGCAGGCCTGACCTGGCGGGGGGCGGGGGCGAGTGGGCACCAACCTCGGCGTTTCCGTGGCTCAGAGCTTCCGTGCCTTTCGGCTTGCTCTGCTGTAGTTTTGTTTTTGGGTCACACCTGGACGTGCTCCGGGGTCACTCTTGGCTCTGCACTCAGGACTTACTCCTGGAGGTGCTCGGGGGTCCCTATGGGATGCCGGGATTGAACCCGGGTCAGTTGTGTGCAAGGCAAATTCCCTCCCCGCTGTACTAGACTTCTGGCCCCAAGGCCCAAAACTTAAAGAAAAATCCTTGCTGGGGTTTCCCCGTCCCTGGCGTCCTGTCAGCCTTGTGGGTCTGCACACGGCTTGTGCGACTGCCTCGAGTGGCCAGTGACAAGGGCGCCCGCGTGTCCTCCTGCTCCCCAGGGCTGCTCTCTGCCCGGTGCTCCCGGCCCTGCAGCCCTCAACTCCTGCCCTGTGTTCACTCCTCCTTTCTGTGGTGTCCCCCTCCTCTCTCGGTGGCCCTCCCCCTGGGGTCACCCCCCTTCCTGCGTGGTGCTGGGACAGCAGAGCTGCCGGGTTTGTGCCGGCTTTGTGCCAGGTGCACGGTTGACCCCGGGGGCTTGGATTCAGGACCTCCTGCTTGTGAGGCAGTGCTCAAAACCCCCTCTTGTACATTCCTCCCCTCCAAGCTGAAGGAACGGACTTGACCCACGTTCAGGCTCACACTTCTGCTTCCTGCCGAATCACTGCCGGTAGCCAGCAGGCCAGGACCCGTGTGCCACGCCTGTGTGAAGCAGGGACGTTCCAGGGCGTGAGCCTGCTAGCGTCTTTGTCATGGACACACGTGGTCCCATCACAGGATTTAGGGTCAGGGTCCAAACACAGGAGCATGGGGGTGGGGGGGGGGTGGGGGCTTGTTCAGGCCGGAGACTCTACTAGGCTCACACACAGCATTGAGTGCTCAAGTCTCAGGGAGACAGTGAGGCTCAAACACATTTTCTTTTGCGCTGTTTTTTTCTCTCTTTTTTTTTTTTTTGGCTTTTTGGGTCACACTCAGTGATGCTCAGTGTTGCCTACTGACCAAGTAAAAGAATGCTTGATTTTTCATTCCCCATTTGTCCTGCTCAAAGCTGGGCAACTTCCCAGTACAGGAGGTTTCAGTTTGGGGAAAATGCACACTCGTAAATGATTTGTAAATGGTGTATGAGGAACAGCACAATCTTTGCAGTTATGTCAAAGCTATATCAAAGCAGGTCGTTCTGACCAATAGCATTATGCCGAAAGGGTCACCAGGTGGCTGACCAACAGTGCATGGCTCTGCTCATTGTCCCATCCACTTTCCCACGTCCCATCCCCTTTCCTTCTTTTGGGTGGGCTGTGGAAACATACTTAAGTCTGTACTTATGCTCTGAATAAACGCAGGCATTCATGCCATCTCCTAAATGACGAACCCTGTGTGACTCGAGTGCTGATTTCACCCTGACGGCCCTCCCCTGGCTCTGCCCCGCAGCGCCGGACGTGGCACTCAGGAATTCCTCCTGGCAGTGCTCAGGACTGGTGATCGAATCTTGGTCAGCCGTGAGCAAGGCAAATCCCTCCCCACTGTGCTCTCACTCCAGACCCTCCTTTTGCATCTTTTTGTGTTATTTTCAGAATTGATTGATTTCCAAGTAGCGTTTGCTGGCCCTGATGTCCTCTGCAGAGTCCCTTGTTGCACACTGTGTTTCGTGGGCACCTTGACATGAAGACTTGGCGCTTGCCTGGTGCATGGCTGACCCCATAGGTCCCCTGAGCACCGCCAGGAGTGATTCCCGAGTGCAGACCCAGGAGTAACCCTGAGCACTGCCGAGTGTCCCAAAAAACAAAAGGAAAGAAAGAAAATACGTATCCTTGCCCGGAAGGGTAGCCCAGGGCCAAAGAGCCTGCCCTAACTGTGGTTGACCCCACCCCAGCCTGTACGTCCCTTCCCACCCAGGTCCTGCCAGGATGAGCTCCCATGACTGGATCAGAGTCAGCCCTGAGCACTGTCAGATGTCCCGTCCTCAGCCCCCAGGTTAGGTCACTCCGCCCTCCCCACCTCCCCCCACTCCCCGGTTCCCGCTCACTCATCCTCGAGGGGACCCGCACTCATTCAGCTTGTGCTCCCATCCGGAGCAGGCCAGGCCATACTCCTCTGTACAGCTCTCCGGCCTTAGTGGGATGGGCTACTCTCTGGCCACGGTGCGGCCGGTGTTGCTCACAGCACTGGGGTCACAGAGAGCAGGGCTGTCAGGGTCGAGCTCAGGGCCTCTGCCCTGTCGCTCTGCCCCCCCCCGACCCCCCCCCGGCTCACAGATTTCCTGGCCCGGCTCCTGAGGGGGGCCCTGGTCTGGGTCACTGGGTCCAGGTCCCACTCGGGGGATGCTGAATGACCTCAGTTGGAGATCTGTAACTGACAAACATTTGTCAAAAGTTTTCTGAAACCACTTTCACAGGGCCCGGGGATCCAGAACTGGGCCCCGCAGGGACCAGAGGCTCGTTGGCCATGTAGTGCTGACGTCTGCAAGGGCAGCCCTCCGGAGCCTCAGCCAGACACTGACATCACGAAGGGTGGCGCCTGCCCCTTTAAGAATGGCCCATGATGCCCTCCTCCTTGCTGAATTCTAGTTCTACCTCAGAACATTCTAGACTCCAACTGCCATTTTCAGTCTCTCCACGAGACTGGCACGAGCCTGTTTGGCAGAGCTCAGTACTGAAGCTGCGAGTGCAGTGTGACACAGGTGAATCTGAGTCTCTGGGCTTTCTGCCCGCGTGCGGGCGGCTTTTTTCTCTAACAGTTCTTTAGTGTATGATAGTTTTGAATCTTTAGTTAGTTTAAGTTTTTTTACTAGTTATATATATATATATATATATAAATATATATATATTTGGGTGGTGTGGGGGCGGGGTGGGGTGGGGTGGCCATACCTGGCTGTGCCCAGGGGTGACCCTGGCCGGCTAACGTCCCTGTGCTGACGGAGATCGAGCCCAGGACAACTGGATATAAGGCAAGTGCGCTCCCCACTGTCCTGCCTCTCTGCCCCTTGCGGACTTCTCTATTGAAATATGGAATGACTCTGAAGTCAGTGGGCCCTCATGGGGGGCTGATGAGAAGCAGAGGAGAAGATATCACTCCCCCGGGACTGGCTGGAGCGCTGGCACTGCTGAGTGCGATGAGCCCCGCCAGCCCCATGACGCCCACTAGGCCTTCCCGGGGTCTTGGGCCAGAGTGAGGGGTTGCCCTTTACAGGGAAAGGGAGTCGATCCTCGACCTCCTCAGGCCCCCGGGCTTTTGTCCTTCTCGCAGAAAAGCATTTCAGGAGATGAGCATGAAGCAGAAACATTTTATTTGGAGGCCTTTAGGAAGGGGAAGGAGGGAGGGAGTAACACGCTCGAGAGAGAGTGCGGCTTCTCCAGAGGTGCAGAAAGCCACTGAACATGTTATGTTGCTAGGTTGCATTAGGTCTGAAAGTCCACACCTCAGGAGGGGAGAAGCCCGTCACATGACCGACCTCATAGGCAAGAGCAGTACCTGGGCTCGGGCACACATGAGCGCCCTCCCTTGGTTCAAGGTGGCTAATCTAGGGATTTCCCCAGGCTGCCCCTGGTGGGAGTTTCTAGCTACCTACAGTCCGTTGCTAGGGTGGTTGCCAAGGGGGTAGAGTTGAGTGGTCCATGGTCCTCTTAGAAATTCCTTTCCTGGGCTTTGTTCCTATTCCCTCGGGGGGTCCAGCCTGCTCTGGGCCTCCTAATGTGGGTTAATTTTGACCAGACTTTGGGTTCCGTGCCCTCAGGTGGTCTTTTGGTGGCCATAAAGCTTTTGTTGACTTCCTCGGAGTTCCATTGCCATGGGGACGCTTCCCCCATCTACCTGTCTGCCTCAGTCCTGTGGGTTAAGAAATGGAGTTAATACTGCCTTGTGGTTATCCAACTTGGGCAGCGTCACAAGGAACGTAGGAAACGCCGAAAACTCCTTCGCTCCCCTTTGGCGCAATTTTTTTTTCTTTTTGGGTCACACCTGGTGATGCACAGGGTTACTCCTGGGTCTGCACTCGGGAATCACTCCTGGCAGTGCTTAGAGGACCATATGGGATGCTGGGAATCGAACCTGAGTCGTCCGCGTGCAAGGCAAATGCCCTTCCCACTGTGCTATCGCTCTCCAGCCCCCCATGGCGCAGTCTTGCTGGGCCCTTTTCCCTGGCAGTTCTCAGCCCATAGAAAAAAGTGTGCCTGTTGCTTGCCTTAGCTTCTACGTGTAACCCCGGGCCTCTCGCACATACACATACGCACACACGCACACAGAAGACCAGCCATCACTGCTGAGTCGCCTGCCGGCTCGTCAGTGTCTGGACGGGGAGGTGGTCAGTGACACTCGCGGTGCTTAGGGATGATTTCTGGCTCCTGAATGTGTTTGGTGGTGGGAGTGATGGCAGGGAGGGCGTGATGGTCAACTGCCCGCAGGGCAAGTACCTGTCCCCTCTGCTCTCTGGCCCTGAATCGGCAGTTGTTTGTTTGTCTGTTTTGGGTTGAGTTTTTGCGCAGGAATGACACTTGGTGGGCTCAGGGGGCTGTGCGGGAGACTGGGGGTCGCACTCGGGGTGGCGAGTGCCAGACTGGCAGCTCTCTGGGCTCCGGAAGCTGCTGTGGTCGCTCCCCTGAGACAGACTCTCTCCTCTGCTCTTCAGAGATTTAGTCCTGAGAACGAGTGTGCCTCAGAAGGCCCCACAGTGGGCTCGATGGTCGGGGCCTGGTAGTGGCCGCGGCAGCGTCTGACCGCCTGACCATGAGTCTGCTGAGGCCCAGCGGGCTGAAGTCCCCCACCAAGATCCTCAAGCATGGGAGCTGGGCCCTGAAGGCACCCTCGGCCGGTAAGTGCGCTCAGTCCAGGCCAAGGGAGACTCATTCCCACCCGTGAACCCCATCCCGAGTCCTCGCCCGGGAAGGACTCCCTGAGCTGTAGACAAGTCCATGGCTCTGGGGACAGCTCTCACACACGAGTGTCACGTTCTGTGAGTTTACTGTCACGGCAACCGGTGACAGCTGAGGCGACCAACACGCTCCCTTCTAACTGCTAGCTCCCTTGCCCAGGCTTGGGGACAGGCTTAGGGAGGTGGACTCACCTGGACTAGAGGGCCTCATTGCCGGCCAAAGCCACAGTACAGTGGGGAGGGCAACTGGCACCCCATGTGACTCTCCACCCTCAACCTCACCATGAGTAACCCTGAACGTAGAACCAGAAATAGGCCCTGAGCATTGGCTGGGTTGCTCCCCGCCCAAAAGAAAAAGAAGATGGGCCAGTGGACACAGCAGAAATAAGACACTGGGTTCGAGCTTTCACCTGGCTTGGTCCGTAGTATCACGGGGTGTATCCAAAGATTTCCCCTGAGCTGCCCAAAGTATGACTGCGGCCTGGGATGCTGCGGTAGGTGAGCACGTCCGCTTCACGGCAGGCCCAGCCAGGCTTCGCCACAAGCAGCCCCCGTCATTGGCTGGGAGTAATCCCGAGCACTGCTGGGTGTCCCTCCCCCCCAACCACACTTTAACTGGACCTGCACAGGCCCTTCCTGTCCCTTCTGACCCTTTCTGCTCTTCCAGCTGCTGCTCCCGTTGAGAAGACCATGCCTGGGGAAAAAACCCCCATCGCCCCCTCCTCGGAGATGCAGGAGGAGTTTGTGGGCGACTTCCAGGTCGGGGAACGAGTCTGGGTGAACGGGAACAAGCCTGGATTCATCCAGTTCCTCGGGGAGACCCAGTTTGCCCCTGGTCAGTGGGCCGGGATCGTCTTGGACGAGCCCATCGGCAAGAACGACGGCTCGGTGGCGGGTGTGCGCTACTTCCAGTGCGAGCCGCTGAAGGGCATCTTCACCCGGCCGTCCAAGCTGAGTAGGAGCTTGCAGGCCGACGATGAGACCAACTGCCGGCAGCCAGCGCCTGCCGCCTGGGCCACACCGCCCCTGTCGGCCTCCCCGGCCCCTGCCAGCACCGCGAAGGTGCCCCAGTCCCCCGCGAAGGAGTCACCGGCCACCCCTCACATCAGCAGCCTGACCAGGACGGCCAGCGAGTCCATCTCCAACCTCTCTGAGGCCAGCTCCCTCAAGAAAGGGGAGCGGGAGCTTAAGCTTGGGGACCGGGTGCTGGTGAGTGCCGAGGGCAGCGGTCGCGGGTGGCTGTCCATTCGCCTGTCTGGTCCATCAGTTCCTCCAGACTCGCGGTTTGGGTGGAAGCAGGAGCAGCCGGGACGCCTGGTCCTGCAGTTTCCAGTGTGATGGATGCGTGCGGGGATGCTGCCAGTTTTGCCAGTTTAGCCAAAACAGGGTGGAGGGGTCATGCCGTGGGGAGGGGTCATGCTTGGCACGCCTCTGACCCGGGGTTTAAGTCTTGGTCCCATGTACAGTCCCCCAAGCACATCCCGGAGGGATCCCTGAGCACCAAGCCAAGAGTAAGCCCTGAGCACTCTGACTGTGACTCAAAAACAAACCAATGAACAAAGTTGGATATCGGTTCTATTTCTCTGGTTTTCGATGTTTTTGCTTGGGGCGTCACAGGGTGGTCGCACACAAAGCCAGTGCCCTTCCCCTGGTTCTCCAGCCCTGTTTGTCAGCATTCCCATCATTGTCCAGCGCTTTGATTCTGTTTTGCTCTGTGTCCCGGGAGCCAAGCGTCAAGCCAAGGCATAGTGAAGGAGAACTGGAAAATCGAACTCTGCTAAGATACGAGCATAGTCACTTTCCTTTAGCTGGTTTCTGGCTTAATTGTTCTCCAGCGGTGGGGTTGCCACTGCTCCGCTCCCACACCCACGGGGCAGCGACCCCCTCGCCACACCAGGTGGCTGGCCTGGGTCTGAGATTCCCGGGGGTTTGGTCAGCCAGGCCACCAGTGACAGCGAGTGGGTGTGAATGCCGCTGCCTTGCCTGGACACTGAGCAGCAGTGTCTGCTCACCCTGTAGGGGTTGCGGGGGGAAATGGCACCTTGACCTTTGGGGTTTCTTCAGGAAATCCCGACTCTGAAGCCAGAATGTTCGTTTGCGGGGGTGGGGGCGCTGTGCGCAGTCCAGGGTGCCTGACCCACGTCCCTCCATCCCTCCGGCAGGTGGGAGGCATGGAGGCCGGTGTGGTGCGCTTCCTCGGGGAGACGGACTTCGCCAAGGGGGATTGGTTCGGCGTAGAGCTGGACAAGCCACTGGGCAAGAACGATGGTGCCGTGGCCGGAACGAGGTGGGTCCCCCTGCCCCCCCAGACAGCCTGGGGCCATGCAGGGTGCCCGGGAGGCGCTGAGGGGACTGCAGGCCACTTCTCTTGGTTCTTAGGCGGGGCCACTTCCGTTGGCACTCGGGGACCCTGCAGGGATGTGGGGACAGCCTGGGGCCCCCTACATGCAGCTGTGCTCGGGCCGCAGGAACCCCCGGGCCTGCTGTCGCCCTTCAGATGCCAGGGAGGCTGCTTGGAATCGCCCTTGGTTTGCGTGGTGGGGGTGGGCGGCGTGCGAGAGAGTGTGGGTGTCAATGTATGAGGGAGTGTGTATGTGAGCGTGTGAGTGTGGGGCTGTGAGAGTGTTGGTGGGGGCGTGGGCATGAGAGTGTTGGTGGGGGTGTGAGCGTGTTTGTGGGGGAATGAGAGCGTGTCAGTGTTGGTTTGAGAGCGTGCAAGTGTTGGTTGGGGTGTGCGTGTGTGTTACTGTGGGGCTGTGGGTGTGTGGAAGTGTTGGTTGGGGTGTGAGTGTGTGTGGGTGTGGGAGTGTCGGTGGGGTGTGAGTGTGAGTGTGTGTTGGTTTGGGTGTGAGTATGTGTGTTTCTGGGGAGTGAGTGTGTGTGAGTGTGGGGCTGTGGACATGTGGGAGTGTCTGTTGGGGTGTGAGTGTGTGTGTGTTTGACGGGGTGGGAGTATGAGAGTATGGGAGTGTTGGTTGGGGTGTGAGTGTGTTTGTTGGGCTGTGAGAGTGTGGAAGTGTGGGAGTGTTGGTTGGGGTGTGAGTGTAAGTGTGTGTTGGTTGTGGTGTTTATGTGTGGGAGTGTTGGTTGGGGTGTGTGTGTGTTTGTTGGGTTGTGAGTGTGTGTGAGTGTGGGCTGGTGGAGGGTATGATGTTTGTTGGGGAGTGAGTGTGAGTGTGTTTGTTGCGGTGTGAGTGTGAGTGTGTTTGTTGGGGTGGGAGTGTGAGAGTGTGGGAGTGTTGTTTGGGGTGCGTGTGTGAGTGTGTTTGTCGGGGTGTGAGTGTGTGGGCATGTGGGGCTGTGGGAGCGTGTTCGTTTGTGGGGGTGTGAGACTGTGGGACTCAGTGGACTTCTGGGTCGGCGCTTGTGTCTCTTGGTCTCTTGCCGAAGGTGTTTTTGTCCCCCCCTCCTCGTTGTCCGCAGGTACTTCCAGTGTCAGCCCAAGTATGGCTTGTTTGCTCCCATTCACAAAGTCACCAAGATCGGCTTCCCGTCCACGACGCCGGCCAAGGGCAAGGTGGCCGCTGTGAGGCGTGTGATGGCCACCACCCCCGCCAGCCTGAAGCGCAGCCCTTCGGCCTCCTCGCTCAGCTCCGTCAGCTCCGGGGCCTCATCCGTGAGCAGCAGGCCCGGCCGCACGGGACTAGTAAGAAGCCCCCCACCACTGCGGGGTGCTCGGGCCCCCACAGACTCCCACAGCCCCAGGGGCAAGAGGCGGAGCAGGAGCACGTGGGCTGAGCAGCTCCGGGTGGCAGGCGAGTGGCTTCCCAGCCACCACAGGTGACAGGAGCAGGGATGGGCCTTTCCTGGGGTGCTCAGGGCTCCTCTCTGGCCTCAGGCCACCTTAGGGATGAAGTGGGGTAGCTGAAGGGGTGCCTGAGGGTCAGAGCAGGGCCCAGAGACTCTGGGGAACGCTTGGCCCTTCATCTTGCTTCTTTGCTCTCTCCGTCTCTCCCTGCTCCCTCCTGTCCCTCTGCACCGCTGTCCACATGCAGAGTGGCCTCGACTTCTGTCCATTGCGGTGCCTCAATTCAAAGCTTGGGCCTCGTGGCTTCTCCCCTCACGTCTATCTGAGTCATAAACACTAAAGTGTGTCTGAATATGCAAGGGTGCCCTGAGATATTGTCCACAGGGAAACGGGCCCACGATGGAGAGTGTGTCCCGGGGGGATGACTTTGCTGGGGGCTGCGCTTCCTGCCGCTGCCTCTGCTCCGTGCATTGACCCTCGATGCGGAAGAGGAGGGAGTGAGTGTGTGTGCAACGGAAGATACAAAACAGATGACACGGGAACGGGAGCCAGGAGGCCACGCGCCGTGGGCACAGGCCTGGGGCCAGTCCTGTCTTGCTCGACCACCACCAGGTTTCCCTGCCCCACCTGCATCCTCAGGTCCGACTCCTCCTTCCCTTCGCCTCACCATTTAGGAGGGGAGCAGACTCAGAAGCCCCTCTCCTTCCCTCGCGAGCCAGCCCATTTGTGGAATTTGGTTTTGTTTTTCTGCTTGACTGTGGGCCATACCATACAGTGCTTCAAGGGGCCATTTGCAGTGCTGGGGTTGTGCCGGGGCCTCCCACCTCCAAGCAAGAGCCCCACGCCTGAGACGTATCTCCAGCCTCCCCCCGCTGTCTTGTTTTGTTCTCTTTTGGGGTCACACTTGGCAGAGCTCAGGGCTTTCTCCCACCTCTGTGCTCGGGATTATTCCTGGCGGGCCTCCGGGATTGACCCTGGGCAGCGCTGGGGCTTCGCTCTCCAGCTCTTTGGCCCCTGCCTTGCATATCTTTATGCAGGGTGGAGCTCACTCCTAAACTGAACATCACCGTTAGCGTCTATGACAGGAATATAGAAAGATTCTGTGTGGCTTCACGGAAGTATACCTCGACAACATAATTCCATAAGTGCACACACAAGCGTTCATACACACAGTCACTCATACATGTACACGTAGTGCATACCGTGTATACACAGGCTTATGGGTATACACACACAGGCACATACATGCATAAACACAACGTGCACATGCACACAGGTGCGTGTAGATATGCCCACCAGAACATACATGCATGCATACATACATGTACACGGGTCCGTGCGTGCCCTGTGGAGGCCTCCCTGTTCGTCTGTTGGCTGAGTTGCTCTTCTGAGGTACCAGGCTCCCACAGAAGGCCTGGCCTTGCTGGGATGGAGCCTGGGGCCTCACAAACCACGCGCAGGGCAGAGGCTTTGGCATCAGCATCCTGAGTTCAGCTCTTGGCCCCGACCTTACCCAGCCCCTCAGCACGCGCCTCCCCCCATGCTAGGGGTGCTGCTTTCTCCCTGCTCCGGTGCCTGAACCTCACAGTCTCGTCTCCATAGTTGGCTGAAAGAAGACCATCGCTCCTGTGCTGGTTTCCTCAGGGAGCTGTCTCGGGCCCAGGAAGCGCGTGCATCTGGCCTGCCCCACCCGCTCAAGCCAGGAGGCACAGGGAACACCGCCGCCCGCCTTTCCTTGTTTTTATTTTTGCTCTTTGGGGTTCACCTGGCAGTGCTCAGGGACTCCAGGCGTGGTGCTTGGGGGCTGCTCCCGGTGGAGGGGGGTTGAGCCCGGGTCTTGGTGTTAGACCCCCAAGGCTGGCAAGCTCTTCCCAGCCACCCCTTGAAATCCGAGTTGACCGCAGTTCCCGGGAGCACTGCGCATGGCTGGCCCGAGAGCTCGTGTGCTCCTAGAAATTTTAGTTATTATTTGGTTTTGGGGCCACACCCAGGGGTGCTCAGGGCTTATTCCTGGCTCTCTGCTTGGGGGGTGGGGTCACTCCTGATGGTGCTGGATCTTGAACCTCTGCAAGCACCTCCCCCCCCCCCCCAACAGACTCTTTGGCCCTGGGGAGGGCATCTAATCGGACCAGATATACTTTAAGTGTATCGGGAAATCACGGCCAGGTCCTTATGCACAGGCAAGGATGATCCCGCTCTCCGGACAGAACCAGGTGGCTCAAGAGCTCCCAGCAGGCAAAGCAGCAGTGGACAGCCTGGGCCCTGCTGGGCCAGTCGGTCAGGAGGCGTTTGGCAGCAGCTCAGATGATGCGGGAAAGTGGCAAGAGAACCTGTGGCTGGACCGCAGCAGGGCGATGGAACAGGGATGGCCGGGCAGAAGGAGCGGAAGTCCTGGCCACCCCCGCCGCAGCCCCCGCCACCATGTGCCCGAAGAATGAAGATCAGGTCCCGCCTTGTCCCCTCCTGCAGGGGCCGTTGTGCAGAGAGGGATCTGGGTCTGCAGAGCGACCATGAGCAACCACGAGCCCAGGATAGAACGGACAGGACCCCCGGTCCCCGCAGCCCTTCAGCCCACTCCCCTCCCCTCCTCACTGTCTTTGCCTCTTCTCTCCTTCCCTTTGTGCTTGGTCTTTCCCTGAGCTGCCCTTGCTGTCCTGCTCGCTGGGCGTGAGCCCTCACACATTCTCACCCACCACTTTTCCTTTTTTTTTCCCTGGACTTTGGCCATGCCCCAGCAATACTCAGGACTTACTCTGGACTCTGCACTCAGGAGTCACTCCTGGTGGGCTCGGGACCCTATGGGGTGGGTACCTGTTATCCAGCTCGGGTCAGCGGCATGCAAGGCCAGCGCCTTTCCCGCAACTTTATCATTCTAGCCTCTCATCCCCCATTTTCGAAGGCAGATGGCACAGGGGTCTTTTATAGGGTCACACCCAGTGACCCCCGGGGGCACGGGGCCATTCCCAGAGACAAGAGTCTCTGGTTACTGCTATTCAGGCATGGGGCGGGTGCCCGGGAGAGCGAGGTGAGCTGGAAGGAAAAGGAAGAGAGAAGGGACAGGCTGCCCAGGGAGACCCTGACGGACCTGCAAGGCTGAAGATGCTGGAGCTGGCCTCAAGCTCATGCCGAGGGCTCATCCTTAAGGAAGCTCAGGCCAGAGCGGACTGTGGAGGGGGCTGCCTCCGGCTCTGCAGAAGATCTCTGGATTCCCACGAGGCCCGAGGTCAGTGGAACCCAGGTCCCGTCCAAGGATCTTCGGGAAGGTTTCAAGACGTTTCTGCTGAGAGTCGCTGGCCCATATGCAAGGATGCAGCACTGCTCCATGTGCTTTGCCGAGGATCACCGCGAGCATGCCCGTGTCGGCCGGCCCCATCCCCTTCACGTCTCTTTTTCCTTTGCAGTTGCCGGAAACCTCCTCCCGCTACGCGCACAAGATCTCCGGCACCACCGCCCTCCAGGAGGCGCTGAAGGAGAAGCAGCAGCACATTGAGAAGCTGCTGGCCGAGCGGGACCTAGAGCGGGCGGAGGTGGCCAAGGCCACGAGCCACATGGGGGAGATAGAGCAGGAGGTGGCCCTGGCCGGAACGGGCACGGCCAGGTGACGTCTGTGCAGACGGCAGTGCTGGGGCCGCGAGACGCCTGCGGTAGAGGCTGGGCGCCAGATTGGTGCAGGCGGTGCAAGGAGAGGCCGTGGGGCCCCGTCTGCCGTCGTTGCGGTGGCATCCGGCGCGTGGTTTGATCGCATGCGCCTTCTGCTCGCCCTGTGGGGGTTTAGGGAGTGCCGAGTTGTCCGCATCGGTGCTTTCGTGGTGTGGTTCCCCTCTGGCCTTCCAGAAACGCTGTAGCTTAGGTGGGAGATGCATTCAGCTTGCCGTGGTGACAGATGGCGATGGCAGCCCACAGAGGGCTGTAGGGGGCGGGCGAGGCCACTCACGCGCCGTTGCCTCTACAGCACGTCCTGGAGCTGGAGGCCAAGAACGACGAGCTGCGGGCCATGCTGGAAGCGGCCGACTGGGAGAAGGTGGAGCTGCTGAACCAGCTGGAGGAGGAGAAGAGGTGAGGCCGTGCCCGGAGCTGGGGGCTCCCTCGGGTGGGGCACTCCTGGCCTTCCAGGACTGTGAGAACCAGAAACCAACGGGTGCCCAGTCCTGAACACGGCCTCACCGGGAGGACTGGGGGCGGAACTCAGTGGAGCCAAGCCACCCCCGGCCCTCCCTGCTGTGTCCACCTGGCCTGGTATTCAGGAGGCCTGTGCTGGGTGGCAAGGAACTGTCCTAACCCAGTGGGGCCCTGTGGGAGTCCCTGTGGTGAAATCCCAGGCAGGAGGAAACCCACAGTACCCATGGGGCACGACAGCAGACAGACATGGCTCAGGCTAGGCTGCAGACAGATGGATGTGGTGCTCAGGCCGGGGTGCAGACAGACAGACAAGGGGCTCAGGCCAGGCTGCAGACAGACGGACGCGGGGCTGAGGCCTGGCTGCAGACAGATGGACACGGGGTGCTGGCCGAGACCGCCTTTTCAGGTGGGCTCCCGGCATTGTGGTGCCCAGGGGCACTGCGAGTGCCTGGCTCAGCCCCTCAGCTCCACATGCCAACTCGACAGTCACTGGGAGCCCCTCCCCCCCGCCTCCCCCTCTCCCCCGCCCCCGAGTCATTGGCTGCTTCTCCCCCAGGGGCTCAGTTGTTGTCCTGATGTGGGGACAGGCGCTGGCTGGGAGGGACTGGCAGGCGCCGCGGGTCAGTTTTTAACCACCTCTGTTAGCTGCGAGGCAGAAAGGGTTGATATGACACTGCACCTGGTGTTGGCTCGGCCTAACTTCCTCCTGTAGCCTGCGGGTCCCACCCAGTGCTCGAAGCTGAGGGGACTCGCTGACTTTCTTTTTTTTTTCTTTTTGGGTCAACCCAGCGATGCTCAGGGGTTACTCCTGCCTCGGCACTCAGGAATTACTCCAGGCATTGCTCCGGGGTCCACAGTGGTATGCTGGGAATTGAACCCGGGTCGGCCACGTGCAAGACAAACGCCCTGCCTGCTGTACTCTCGCTCTGGCCCTCCCCGACTCTCTCAGCCCTCCTGTGTGTGGAGCCGGGGGCTGGGTCAGGTGCATCTACAAGATGGTGGCCCTCTTGGGGCGCAGCAGTGACGCCCCTCACAACGTCTCCCTCTCCCCCACAGGAAAGTGGAAGACCTCCAGTTCCGAGTCGAGGAGGAGTCCATCACCAAAGGCGACCTGGAGGTAAAGCCCGGGCAGGTCCCGGAGGCTTGCAGGGTGCAGGCAAGGATGCGGGGCAGCCTGGCCAACCCCGCCGGGACCACTTCTGCTGGAGACTCCGAATCAGACAGGGATACCTGGGTTCATGCACCTGGCAGGGCCTGGCTGACACATCTCTGCTGCTTGGGGCTGGAGGCTGTTCTTGATGAGCGTTTTTCTCTCGTTCTGACAGTCGGGTCTATGCCTTTGCCTCAGCTTTGATTTTCAGTCGAGCAGCACAAATCAAATCCTTTAGAACCCCATTTTTTAGAAGGTTTTCCTTAAAACAAGATGAAGCAAAGAGTCAGTTTGAAAAAGACAAATTTCTATTTCTGCTTCTTTTCCTTCCTGTTTTAAGTTCATGGAAATTTTGTTTTCCCACCAGATGGAGGTGAAGTCCCTGCAGGCGGCCTCTGAGAAGCTCGCCAAGGAGAACGAGTGCCTGAGGACCAAGCTGGACCATGCCAACAAGGAGAATGCGGACGTGATCGCCCTGTGGAAGTCCAAGCTGGAGACGGCCATCACCCCGCACCAACAGGCCATGGGCGAGCCGAAGGCATCCGTGAGCCAGGGCGTGGGCGCTGAGGCGGCCGAGCTGGCCGAGCTCAAGATGCAGATCGAGAGGCTACAGTTCGAGTACCAGCAGGAGGTGGAGAGCCTGAAGGCCCAGCAGGCGGCTGTGCGTGCAGCGCATGCCTCTGAGCTGAAGACGCTCAGGTCGCGGCTGTTCAGGATGGCCCAGGAGCAGAAGAACAGCCTGGAGGCCGCACGGGCCAAGCTCGACCAGATCGAGGACCAGCACCTGGTGGAGATGGAGGACGCCCTGAACAAGCTGCAGGAGGCGGAGACGAAGGTAAAGCACCTGGACGGGTTGTGGGCCGTGTGTAGTCAGCAAGCCCAGGCCCTGGCCAATGCCACGGCACAGCTGGAGGCCACCCAGCAGAAGCTCTTGCAGCTCGATGGGCTTTGGAAGGCCAGTTCCTAAGGTCAATTGGGAATGGAGAAGCTCAGGCAGCAGCTCCAGGTGGCTGAGCAGCAGATTCAGGAGTTAGAGAATGCAAAGCGGGCCGAGAGCTGCAGGTTGGTACTCGGGCGCCCTCGCCCACTTCCACGCTCGCTCCCTGCATGCTGTGTGTCAGTCTGCTCGCCGCCGTGTTCCGGCTTGGTGCTGACAGGTCTCCCGGTCACGTCCCGTGCGGTTCCCTCTGATGGGACTGAGAAGGTGTCGGCACGATTCTGGGGCTGTCATTGGTCCCCAGCACCCGGATGCCGTGCTAGCCTTGGCCCTGGCTAATCGGGCCCATCTGGGGTCTTTCTGAAACAGAGAATTCTTCACGAGGCCAGTGAGAAAACAAGATAGGAGCCCCCAGAGCAGACCTCTGCCCCCCACCCCTTGGGCCCGCTGCATACTCGCCGAGTCCGCCCAGACACTTGGGCTCGAGTCAGGCCGCGAGGGTATTTCCCTGACCTTGCTGACCACCTGCTCGTGTGACGGGCTTTGCCCTCCTCTCCCCGAGGCGCCTCAGTTCCCAGCTGGTGCTCAATGCCTCTGAGCCTCTGAGCTCCCTCAGGGCTGGTGACGTGACCCATCTTGGTATTTCTCATTGCCAGCCCCTCCCTCCCTGCAGCACAAGCCCCCACCCAGCCCTGCAGAGATTTCATCCCTTTCAGCCTCTAAGGGGTGCTTGGACCAAGTCCGCCTTCCAGCATGGCCCCCTGCTGGCCACAGGCATGGACTCTCATGGTAGCCCTGACCCTGGGGAAGGACGAGACAGTGAGATGTGGGCCAAGCCGAGGAAGCTGCAGTTCTCACCAAGGAGCCCCGAGAGATGCCCTTTTCCTCCTATAGGATTGTGGTGGCAGGGACGTGCCCTCAACCCCCCCCCCCCCGCTCCCCTCGCGCTGGGCACTTTGTTGGAGAAACTTCTCTGTTGGCCAAGATGGAAGGGCTGTGGGCTTTCTAGACAGGACTGACAGACATAACAGAAGGGCCCCGAGATCCCCGGGAGTTCCTCTCAGGACTCAGGACTCCTTGGCTGGCATTCCAGAAACATCGGCTGAAACAAATGGAATCAATTCCTAGGACACAGCAGGGGATAGCTGACCCACTTGTTCGCATCAAGATGTAACAAACGTCAAGTTCGGGTGACTGCTGTCTAGTGGATTAGAGGTTCTTCATTTTAAATTTCATATTGAAACCCCTCAAACTTTTAAAGTCACAGAAAAGAAACTACAAGATAGTAAATCTTGGGGGCCGGAATGATAGTACAATGGGAAGGGCATTTGCCTTGCACGCGGCCCACGTGGGTTCGATCTCCATCATCCCATAGGGTCACTGTCATTGTCTCTACCCTCCCGTTGTTTATCGATTAGCTCGAGGGGACCCAGTAACGTCTCCATTGTGACACTTGTTACTGTGTTTGTCATATCGAATACATCACGGGGAGCTTGGCAGGCTTTGCCTGCAGGCGAGATACTCTCGGTGAGCTGGCCGGGTTACTGCCAAGGAGAAATTCCTGAGCATTTAGGGTGACCGTAAAAGCCAAAAGAAAAAAAAAAGATAACCTTTTATTCCCTCCCTTCCCTCCCTTTCCCTTTCTTCCCTGTTTCCTCCCTCCCTCCTTCCTATCCTTAGCTTCCCTCCTCCCTTGCTTACTTCCTTCTTCCTCGCCAAGCCATGCTCTGGGCTCTGGGGTCCTCCCGCCCAGCAGTAGTGGGGCTTTTCAGCTTGTGGACCGATCTCAGTCTCGTCCAGTGGTGCTGCAGTTCCAACTCGGGCCTGGTGTGTACTCCAGCCCTTTGTGCCGTCTCCCCGGCCCTGGAAAGTCAGTCTTTCTCATAGGCTTTCTTATTTTCTGGTCATGCCAAAGTTAGGTCTAGAAAACGCCTCTGTTTGGGCCGTTTCCAATAACCACTAGACAGTCATCACCAGAACTGCCGGCGTCAAGCCCTTGGCTTCGCGAGCTTCAGGCAATCACGCTCACCTCACGCCTCTGTTCTTTGGGGTTGTGTTGGGTCATGGGATTCTCATACGTGTTTTCTGTTTTGTTTTCCCCTTCCCATTCCTGTTTGTCTCCTTGGTCCATTCACTCCATCCTTGTGACTCTGGTAGGCCGATAGCCTGGCCGAGGAGCTGCAGGGGAAGGGGCTAGCGCTTCATAGTCTTCAGGAGAACTTGAACGAAAGCGGCCAAGCTGAGGGGCCGTGTGTGCGCACGTGTGTGTGTACATGTGTGTTTGTGTGTGCATGCTGGTGAGCAGAGCAGAGGGGCTGTGTGTGTGCGAGTGTGTATGTTTGTGTGTTTGCGTTGTGTGTGTGTGAGTTCGTGTTTGTGCGTGTGTGCTGGGAGCGGGCAGGGGGCCGGCGGCTGACGGTGGCCCCCGGGTCCCCGCAGGAGGAGAAGGTGGACGTGAGCCGCAGCCAGTGCCAGGCTCTACAGGCCGAGCACGCCAAGGCCAGCGTGGAGAGCCAGGGGCAGCACGAGGAGGCGCCGCAGGCCCTGCAGCAGCTGCTGCTGCAGGCGAAGGAGAAGCTGCAGGCGGTGCAGGCGGAGAACGGGAGACTGCTGCGGGAGGTGGCCGAGCTGAAGACACAAGCCGACAAGGCCAAGGTGGGTGGCCGCAGTGCAGCGCCGCGGCTGATGGCGGCCATGGCCCGTGTGTGTGTTGGTGCCCGGCCGCTTTCCACCACGCACCGCAGCCAGGGCTACGTCTCCTCTCTGGACCACCTGCTGGCCCAGTTCTGTGGCCAGCAGCCTCGTGTGCATGCTCAGGTCAGTCCCATTCCGGTAACATGGCCGTCAGCGGTCAGCTGCCCAGCACACACCAGTAGCCTGCTGCGGCTCATGGCTGCTGAGCTGGACAGAGAAGATAGCCCTTGCTGCAGAAAGTTCTGGAAAGTACATGGCGATTCAACTGTGGTGTGCATTGAGACTCAGAAATGAAAACGCACAACCCGTTGCTGACGGGCAGGGAGAGCAGGTGAGGGAGACCCTGACCCGTGTGCGGCCAGTCCTCCTGGAGCCCCTAGACCCCTCCCAAATGACTGCAAACACTGCCCTCCCATTGCTCATCGATTGGCTCGAGCGGGCCCACTAATGTCTCCATTTTGAGACTTGTTACTGTGTTTGGCAAGCAAAAACTGTTGGCTTCAGTCTCCAAAGCTTGGTGGATTCGTCCGGATTTTCTATAAAGTGTATAACTTTTGGGACTAAGTCCATTTCCTGCCTCTGTTTGTCCCTGTGAAAATCGTTTGACAAGCAGTGGTTGCTTTTCCCTTCCCCTCCTGAACAAAGTTCCAAAACAAAATACTTTTTGTAGTTCTTTGAATTGTATTGAAAACTAGTTTTTGAATGCATCCCTTCTAGGACAGAGTGATGGATTTTATAACAGAAGAATTGAAGTGGGGGGAAAAATCTTATGCCCCAATGTCAAGATCCAACTGTACTTACACCTTCCGGGGAGCTGTCAGGAATCATTTCAGACGGCATTTCAAAAATCAACTCGGCTGATAGTAGAATGGGTAGGGTGCTGCCTTGTACTCGGCCAACTTGGGGTTGATCCCCAGCATCCCGTCCTCCGGCCCTGCCAGCAGTGATCCCTGAACACAGAACCCTGAGCGAGACCCGAACACCAGCAGGTGTGGGGCCCCCATCCACAAAATAGGCAGGTAGTTATGTTGACGCTAAGAAGCTAACTGTGTCTGAGCCTCTCCATCCTGAGTCTGTGTGTGTGTGTGTGTGAGTGTGTGCGCGTGCGCGTATACACGCGTGTGCAGGTAAGACTACTCTGCCATTTTCATTTCTGGTATTTAGGCCACATGAAGTGCTTGGCTTGCTTGTGCCTGCTTGATCTCATTCTTGTTTCCATTCTTCCCCGCTTTTTGTTTCTGCAGTCCTTAACTTGCTTATTAAGCTCGGCCAAAGAAGAGATGGAGCTGATGTCAGAGGATCGCAGGGCCCTGAGGTCAGAGAATGAATTGCTGGCGAAGGAGAAGCTCTGTCTGAAGTCCGAGAGAGGGTGGTTTCAATTGAAACTCAGAGAAGCGGAGGCCAAAAACTCTTCGCTGCGGGAAGAGCAGAGGAAGCTCTGGCTGTTGAACCAAGCGATTCGGTTGGATAAGGAGAAGGTCATCGAGGCCAGGTGGGCCGCGGAGAAGCTGTGCCAGCAGGAGCGGCTGGACCGAGAAGCCCTCGAGGCGGAGAAAGAGAAAGTGCTGGAAGAGGGCAGGGCGGTGCAGGAGGAGCTCCAGAGGGTGGGCGCGGAGAAGGACGCACTGCAGGTCGCCAAGCTGGGGCTGCAGGCCCTGGTGGAGGAGCTGCAGATGAGCAAGAGCAGCCTGGTGGCCGAGTGTAACAAGGGCCTGGAGGAGAGGGGCCAGCTGGAGGAGCATGTCAAGAAGCTGGTTCTGGACAACCTATCCCTGGTCAAGGACAAGGACAACATCATCCAGAAGCTGCAGTGCTCCTACGAGGAGCTGGCTCGGGATCAGAAGTCGCTGGTGCAAGAGATCGAGGAGCTCACGGCTGAGAAGGAGGAGGCCGCCCGCGTGGAGTCGGCCCTGCGTGAGCAGCTGAACAGCCTTGGCTCTGAGAAGGAGCTGCTGGGCCAGAAGGCCACGAAGCTCCAGCGGCAGCTGCACTGGCTGCTGAAAGACCAGGCGCTGCTGGAGGCGCAGCAGACCGAGCTGCTGGCCGAGCGGGAGGCGTCCCTGCAGGCCCTGGCCTCCCTGGAGGACACCAGGAACACCAATGCGATGATGCAGAGTAAGGTGGGTGATGGTAGTGACCAGGGCTGTGTAGGCCCGGCCTCAGCCTTGAGAGAAACCATATCCTGGGCCATAGTGATAGCACAGCGCGGAGGGCGTTTGACTTACACACCGAATTCCCAGGTTCAATCCCCGGCATCCCATATGGTCCCCTGAGCACCGCCAGGAGTAATTCCTGAGTGCAGTTGTAGGTGAGCCAGTGCCCTCTGAACTCACAGCCCCACTTTCCCGGGCTCAAGTGACGGCTGACAGCCTGAGCTGTTCCACCCTAGCCAGGAGTGATCCCTGAGCACAGAGCTAGGGTTTATTCCCTACCCCACCGGGTGTGGCCCCAAACAAACCAAACTGACTACCCACAAAGGTTCTAGATAAGCATGTATACATACACAGACATGTATATATGTATATATGCGTGTATGCTTCAAAAGAGTCGGGGAATATCTACCATTTAAAATATCCGAGAATGATGCCGGAGCAATAGCATAGCAGGTAGGGTGTTGGCCTTGCACATGGCCAACCCAGGTTCCATCCCCGGCATCCCATATGGTCCCCGAAGCACCGCCAGGAGTACTTCCTGGGTGCAGAGCCTGGAGTCACTCCTGAGCAACGCCGGATTGTGACCCAAAAACCCCCTCCCCAAATTAATTGATTCATTAAAATAACAGAAGCCAAAAAGAGGGAAGCTGAGGAAGAAGGGGCTGTGCTCCCCTGGCGCCCGTGAGAACCAGGGGCCGCGCACATGCTGCCTGAACCCCACCCCCACACGCTCCCAGCACAAGAGATGATGCTTAAGGAGTGAGAGGCCCCTTGGACAAGGACACATCCCTTCAGTCAAGGGGTCATGTCCTTGCCAGAGCCCTCCAATGCCCTTCCTCTTGCTGCTCTCCCAGAACCTGGGCTTCGGGCTCCTATCACATTGGCAAATCTTCACTTTGCCAGAGTCGAACACCACTTTGGAGGGCTTCTTCCCTGCCAGGAAGGTTCAGTCGCAAATGGAAACGCCCACCAGCATGTGGCTTTTCCAGCCTCTTTGCGCATGCTCTAGTCCCAGAGCTGGGGGAGTCTGGTCCTCTGGGCTGCCTTCCTGCTTCTTGCTCCTGTCAAGGGAGACAGCTGGGTGGGGTCCTCCGGGGTTTGCACACTTGGCTGCAGTCCGGTGCCTGCACCTACCATCACCAGGCTCGGGTCTGGCCTGCAGCAGAAGTCAGCCTTGGGGCCTCCTTGATGTCACTCCTTCCCCAACCCCCCTTCCATCCCACCCGGGTCTGCAGCGCTTTATCGTTTGAATCCTCTCCAAGGAAGGGGACCATCTGGGTCCCAGTGCCCTGAGGAGTTCCCGCACACCCTCACTTCCTGCACTTCTGTACTTAACAGCCGGTGGTCCTGGAGGGCACTTGTGGGCTGAAGTGAACTTTGCATGTGGGCTGTGCAGGTGGACCCTGTATGGGTTTGTTGGGAACTGAACATTTCCATGTTTTGTTTTGTTTTGTTTTGTTTTGTTTTCAGCTGGAGGAAGAGAGATCTGCGTTTCTTGGCTCTAGTGTGGGATGGCCTGGGCACTCTCAGAGATTGGCCATCAGAACTTGCCCTGAGGGAGAAAAAGAATCAGTCTGTTTTTCTGGTTTTATTTACACTTTCTTTGGGGGCCACACCTGGCGATACTCCAGGATTCCTCCTGGCTCTGAACTCATTAATCACTCCTGGCTGCTCTCCGGCGGCCCCTATAGGATGCCAGGAATCAAACCTGGGTTGGCTGCGTGCGAGGCAAGCACCTTTCCCGCTGTGCTATCACTCAGACCCAACGCGCCTGCCAGTTTTCAAGTGAAACATGAATGTTTGTGCCTACAGTCATGCTTGCTTTTGTAAAGTGGGATTTCCCCCCGCCCCATTCATTTGAAAGAAGTGAGTTTGTCTTTGTAGGAGAGGGAAGACCCCTCTTGACTCCCTGCTCTGAGAAGAACCGAGGGGTACCAGCATCTCTTCCTGGGGTCTTCCCTGGGCACCCGGGAGCTTGCGCTCAGGAAGGGAAAGGGGAGCTCTGGCTGCCTCCAACCCTGGGGCAGGGACTGGAAGCGGGGCCCAGCCTCCTCTGTGGCGGGCTCCCATGGCTCCCGCAGATGGCTCACCGTCTCACGCTCTCCTTGAACACAGATTGATTTCCTGAATTCCGTGATTGTGGACCTCCAAAGAAAGAATCAGGACCTCAACATGAAAGTGGAGATGATGTCCGAGGCGGCTCTCAAAGGGAACGGGGATGACCTCAACAATTACGACAACAAAAACTTCGGCCCAGCCACCTCATTCTCTGCACTCTGCAGAAATCTCCAGCAGTTCCTGGATTAGATAGCAAGCTACTTGTGAAACACCTAAAACAACCAATTTACTGTCTTTACAAAGTTTATTTTTTTCCACTGTGGTTTTAGATGAATGTATGATGAGAAATTCAACATTAATAATTTTGGATTTTCTTATCAGAAAAAATTAAATGAAGGACCTGAACCATCAGAAGTTTATCATCCAGTCTGAATCTCTTTATGTTCATTTGAATGTTTTCTAGTTCTGTAAAACGTGATAAATAATGTACCATCAGGGCTACATGGATTATAAGAACTTCTATAATTGTATATATGCTTTTGATGTATTTTCCTCTGGAGATTATCAAGTGTCTCACCAGTGAAAGATCGTAATCCATTGACATTTTGAGTAATAAACACGATTGAAATTGTTTCACAAACTATGTAAAGCAGTATTAAAATTAGAGCAAACAATGTTCTTTATCTACTTGAATAAAATTATTTCCTTTTTGCCAGTGATAACTGATTATTCTCCGGTTTATTTATAAAA